TATGTCGTAGCATTTGCTGGACGAAATTTCATATTTTCATAAAGAACATTTCTGATTGGTGAAATCTTGCCAATTAAAATTAATGACAAGGCTTTGAATGAAGTTTTGCAGAATTGAAATGTGCAGGTGCATTTTCAATCGGCGTTTTTTTTCACAAAGAAAACAGCCGTTCAGTGTGGAAAAGCTCTCTGAGTTCCATCACATGGAATGATACGTGTGACGGCATATTTTCACACGGAACTTCGTTCCCAGTGCACTGAGCACTTGCTATATATAGAGCGAACGTATCCGAATATTAGAAACCACACGTTATTACATGTAGCTAGTGCTTGGCGCACTGGGAACGAAGTTCCGTGTGAAAATATGCCGTCACACGTATCATTCCATGTGATGGAACTCAGAGAGAGGTATATCAATTCTAGTAAATTGTATAAATCCTCGCTCAAGATTGTCAAAACGATAGATATGAAGTGCAAAATTGACCACTAATTTTATAATAAATCATACTTTTTTCGATTTATTGAAAGAACAAAACCAATAAACTCTGTACAAGTAAATTTTCATCTAACCAGTGAATGCACATGGTCTACACCAAGGTTTACACATCACATTTTACTAAAAGGGAAAATAAATAAGGTTGAAAAAGTGACAGTGATGATTGTCCTCTCAGTGTGTGTGTGTGTGTGTGCTACGACTGAATGACGTGACAACATGGCAGAGTGTAAAAAATGCTGTGTGAATGAATTTGATACTGAGCGTGCAATGATAAAACACTGTTGAACCAATAACCGCAATGTAGCACATCCCATACAGTGCAAAAATTGATATGCGGTTCGGATAAGAGACTGCTTGATATCGATACATAATGTGAATTGTTCAAATGATAAGTGCACAGCAGGAGATGGCTGCTATTTTACCAAAGATTCGAGTTATAGGTTTTCACAACTGTGTAATTTTCAAATACGGATAAAGATGCTGGGGGAGCATTTGGTTCAAAAGAGAAAGTTCACGTGCAGGTTGATTGAAACGCGCAAACGGTTGATGGCGTACACTGTACATTGTACATGTTACCTAATAAGTGATTATGCCAACACAATGAAATGTGGTTTTGTTTCGTGTTCGCTTCATAGGTGTCACATTCAGTAGTCTAGGTGCGGTTTGTGGCCATAAATTTCGGTTTAATTTTTAAGCTTGTTTCAATGTGGAGAATCAAATGAAGGACCATATTTTTTCGCCTGTATATTTCTATGTGATGTGAATATTTCAGAGAGTGGAAATATCGAGGGGCAAATCACTCTTTTTGCAATTACTTCCCAAAAGTTGCAATTACTCTTTTTTTCAGCAATTACCTCAAAATTTACAATTACTTTTCATATACAAGTAATTGCAACCCACCAGTAATTGTTGAAAAATGGAGTAATTGCAACTTTTGGGAAGTAATTGCAAAAAGAGTGATTTGCCCCTCGGGAAATATACTTGGAATATACATGAAATTCAATACCTAAATATAGCAACAGTATAACAATGAATTCATTAATTTACTAATGTTTTTGGATTTTAATTAATATTTTAATATACTTTTAGTTTATTTCAGAATGTACATTGGGCCAAATAAAAATCTGTGACACAGCTAAGCTGGCTGAGCTCAACGGCTATTTGGTCATATGCACACGAACAAAAGAAAAACAGTTTTTCTACGCACATACAAAAGCTTTTATGTTGCTGTGTGTATGTATCCAAATATTCACTGAGTTTAGCCAGCTGAGTTTAGCCAGCTAAGTCCAACTACAGATTTTAATTCAACCCAACGTATACACTCTGGATTAATTTTATATAATCAAGAAAAAAGACAAAATGTTAGTTATTTCACAAGATCATTTCACCGCTAATTGATACCGCGTGTGAGAGATAGCCCAAGCAGTAAATCAGACCGAATTTAAGTCGATTCTAAGTAAATTATCGGAAATCGACGAAAATTCGACCAAGTTTGCTGTTAGAAAGCAAGTGAATCCCGTGTTTCTATAGAACCATGTGACAGAAATATGCGCGTTGACCTGCAAAGAAATGCTGATTTTGGAATTTCAATTGACTTAAAGTCTACACAAATGACATTTTGAACAAAAACTGTACATGCTGTAGAAATGTGAAATAAAAAGAATGGTTGGAATTTGTAATATTAATCGCAATTTTTTTTTCGTTTAAGAAAACGGAATTCCATAAAACGTACAAATGGTACCAAATTTGAAGTAAAACATTACAAAAAATAGCATATCTTTTTATAATGAAAGGAAATCTTTATATTTGAATATGAATTGATGTTCAGATGCATAAATCGAATTGAAATTAGTGTTTTATATTGATATTTGTGAACTGAAAAGTATTTACTAATATCCTAGACAAGTGCTGTTCTTTGCTCAGGATAAATTTTTGACATTTTTCAAATTGGGCCGAAAGGATTTTTGGTCGTTATGCCTCACTAGATCGCACTAAATTAGGCCATTTACCACCATTTATCCGGATCGATAGGTGGGATAAATATCCCATAGGTGGGATAAATTGGCTCTCTTATGTGGAACATTTATCCGAGGATAAATTTTTGAAAAAGAGTTCCAATTTATCCTACCTATGGGGGCCATTGATCCGGATAAATGGTGGCAAATGCTCTAATTTTGTACGATTTAGCGAGCCATAACGACCGAGAATCATTTCGGTCCAATTTGGAAAATTTCGAAATTTCATCCTCGGATAAATCTTCCACATAAGAGAGCCAATTTATCCTACCTATGGGGGCTATCAATCCGGATAAATGGTGGTAAATGGCCCAATTTGGTGCTGAGCAAAAAACTACACTTGTCTTGGATATAAGTAAATTATAATGTTTTTTTTTGTTATATTTATCGATCACATTTCCTTGTAATTTTGATGAATGAAAAGAATTAACGGAACCAAAGAAGCAAGCAAGGCAACTAATTGAATGCATAGGAATATTTGTCAAATGCGAAATTCAGCTTAGCCTAAACGTTTCCCAGGTGCTTGTATTGAATCTTGATTTTAAATTAGTTAAATTCCATAATTCACAACTATTCAGTGTACATTCAATCAGCATGTATGTTTAAACCAGACCGGTGTACAGTGAAGGGATAATCAGGCCGGGTAACCCTTCCGTCAATTTGATTTCTTCGTCCTTTCCTCGGTCATCAAATTTGAAAGACGTTTGTTGAGTCTTAAATTTTTTTAACCTCCACCCACAGGATCGGATCGTACACCGGTTTGGATAAAAAATCAGTAAAAAATATGAGTACTGCAGTTACATGTATATAAGCGTTGAATACGCCCAAATTCAATTCATGCCAAATTATTTACAAATAGGAATAAGCATAATATTTTGGTGAACACTCACATTTCATCGTCCGTGGTTTGAATAAGTGAGAAGTAATTGTTCGTTGAAAAAGTGACTCGAAGGAATTAAATCAATTCATCAGCAATTCATCGCGAATTACATTACTTCCATATTTGGATTTAGTATCGGTCTATTGATTTTTGCGTTTCATATCAAAATTGTTCACTCAGTTAATAATATTTACCAAAATGATTCCGGAACATAATTTCGTGTTTACTGTTGCTATTGGAATGTATTGAATTTTATTTGAAAGATGAAAGATAAAATGAATTTATCGAAACAATTGATTCTGGATATTTTGTTGACAAAAATAGAACGATAGTGTATTTCACAAATACCATTTGTGGAGATCAAATAGATTCATTCGTATTTAATATATAGTTTATAGTACGCTCCTGTGGGTAATGTGCTTGTGCATACTGCATACAGCACAGCTACATTGTCAACATTTTGAACATTTTAATGTGGATATTACTGGTAATATGCGAATATCCGTGAATCTCGCATAATACCGGTAATTGCAAAATGGAGATGAGGAAATTTTCTAACAGTGTGTCAATTTATTACAAAATTTATAACGCATTAAAACCAAAAGGTTTAATAATTATTCAGATTATAATCTGAAGACGGATGGTCCCATGTAAAACGCGAGATTTAACATTTCATGAGCATAAGCCAATGCATATAAAAGACAGTATAAATCATTCACAGAAAAGTAAATTGATAAATTGGAACAATTTATTGGATATTTCATTCCGATTAATCAATATTCCGCAATGTATTCTGAAAGTAATGAATCGATCTCGTTCAATCTTCCGATTTGATAGTGCGAATGAAATTTTCTCGAAATTTAATGTTTGTGAATCGAGCCCATGATAGGAGTATGTTTAACATACAGTAATACAGACAGTCTGTATTATTTACTAGGAGAATTTTCAAATATTTATGGAATTTTTTGCTATTAAAAATGATATGCAATGTATAAATGTTCAATTTTCTAGGTCATAATCATGAAAATGAGTTTTGAATCCGAATAAGCAGTGCAATCGAGTGAAATCATCGAAAATTTTCCAATATTCAATATTCAATATTTTTGGCTAGAGCTTAACACCTCGTTGATGTACATGCCGATATGAATTGAATTCTGGTGAATGAACAACAAATCAATCTCTCCCAGCTGCTCAAAATTCTATGGGCTATATGTGTGAACGATTCACACTGCACACTGTCTGATTGGATTCGTATGATTCAGTCCCTCACCGGCCTCACCAAAACAGTTTATCAGCAATAATTATAATTTATTTGAGACTCTGAGAATGAAAATGGCAATACAGGAATAAACATTCTGAAGCGCATCAAGAAAAAAAAATTCGCAAAAGTGAATCATGAGTTCTGAATACGCAAAAGTGAACCATGAACCTCCTATGCTGCCCATGTAAATTCATGTTTCACTTTTGCATATTCAGAACTCATGATTCATTTTTGCGATTTTTTTTTCTTGATGCGTTTCAGAATGTTTATTCCTGTATTGCCATTTTCATTCTCACAGCCTCATTTGAAATGCCATATTTGTAGAATGCTTTAGTTTTTTTTTACTCACATTTATTGGGTTTATTTTGGATGTCCAACACTTTAGCTCTCGAAATGCAGCGTAAATCAATATATCTCAACGATTATCTTGATTTCGTAAATCTCTTATGAGCTACGCATCGATGTCCATATGTCAATATTCCCATAACCATTCAGTTGGCGTTTTTATTTTTGTCGACAGTCTAGCCGAATAGTGTTGTAACTCATCAACACTAAAATGGTAATGATCAATTTTGTTATCACACTGAAAGAAATGAACACAAAAATTCTATTAATGAAATTACTGAATTTTCTATTAAATGCATTAGTTCTAGTTTGATATTGGTTATGTGTGTACGTGTTGAATGATTGATAGAGAAACAATGTCACATTTAGAATGGTCTATATTGAGAGGAATATGAGATTTTTTGGTCTCCACTTTCTTTATCCGATTAGATATCAAAATTAAGTGAATTTATCCAAAATGCAGTCGCAGCAAACAACGAATTTTAAGTAGGTAAATTTTTTATTTTCAGGTCAAATTCGTTGAGAGATCGACTAAAAATCAATTTGGGATTGGTTGAAGACAAAAAAAACACCACTAACGAATCATAGAAAATTAAAAGATATCACAGTATCATGAAAGTCATTTTACCCATCATCACACCTTAATGCATTTGAAACAACACAATTTCATGTAAATGACGCAACTCATTGATGGAATCAGTGAATCGTTTTGTTTGAACACCTTGAAAACATTTCACACGATGGATACCATCTTATATACTTTTATGAAGCAACGATTGGGCCTTTTGAACTGTAACCAAAAAAATGTTGCGGTTCTTACGCGACTGTTTTTTTTTTCAATGGGATCTATTTTCACAGCATTAGCATTTTTTGAATCGATTCTGGTACAGCAATCAATCTACATATATGTACAATGTCCATTATACAATTGGATGCTGCATAGTTTTATCGCTACACGCATAAAACAAAAGTCATTCGTCAAATCAATATGAGTTTGATTCCAACAAAACAGTTGTATAGTAAAGAAAAAAAAATTAGACTGGGACTATAGTCTATAGAAATTGATTACTTTTAGCAACCATTATTGTCGTAGAGATTCAAAAATACCTTAATAAATATTCGCTTAAATTCCCCCTTTTTTCACATACAGTCATGGACTAAATTGAGCGTACGACTGCCAGAAAAATGTATCGCGGACTATTTCATGAACCTAATTTATTTTTTTCAATCAATTCTTTGCACTGTTTGTTGCGTAATTATGTGAACTAATAGTAACCGAGAGAATTTTGAATTTTTTTTTTTGGATTTTGTGATTTTTTTTGAAAAATGTAGATGAATGTCATTTTTGTGCTGGACAAAATTGAGC